TTTTTTTTTTTTTTTTTTTTGAGATGGAGTCTCGCTCTGTCACCCAGGCTAGAGTGCAATGGTGCGATCTTGGCTCACTGTAACCTCCGCCTCCTGGATTTAAGCGATTCTCCTGCCTCAGCCTCACAAGTAGCTGGGATTACAGGTACCCACCACTACACCTGGCTAATTTTTGTAATTTTAGTGGAGACAGGGTTTCACCATGTTAGTCAGGCTGGTCTCTAACTCCTGACCTCAGGTGATCCGCCCACCTCGGCCTTCCAAAGTGCTGAGATTACAGGCGTGAGCTGCCACACCTGCCTGGTCTTAAATTATTTTTCTTAATTTTAAAAAAGAAAATATATGTGTTAATGAAAATGCAAATTATAAAAAGTAATATTTAATTACTTGTGATCCCATTACCCGGAGGCAATTTTCTCTGTGTATTTATTTTAAATGGAATAATTATCAACATGGGTTTTCCACAACCAGCTATTTTCACAATACATCCTGAACAGCTTGCAGCTACTGACTTGTTACTGAGTATCTGCCACATCATTATAGTAAATGGTTACTTGGCATATGCCATGAAAAAGAATATAAAATAGTTTATATAATTATTATCTACTGATAAACTTTCAACTTGTCTCAAATTTTTCACCACAAAAGTTGTTTATTAAAATTACAATGACTAGGCTCCTGCCTGTAATCCCAGCACTTTGGGAGGCTGAGGTGGGAGGATCACTTGAGGTCAGGAGTTCGAGACTAGCCTGGCCAACATGGTGAAACCTGATCTCTACCAAAAATACAAAAAATTAGCCAGGCATGGTGATACAAGCCTATAGTCCCAACTACTCAGGTGGCTGAGGCAGCAGAATCGCTTGAACCTGGAAGGCAGAGGTTGCAGTGAGCCAAGGTCACACCACTGCACTCCAGCCTGGGCCACAAAGCAAGACTCTGTCTCCAAAAAAACCCAAAAAACCAAAATTTGAATGACTAAAACGTAAGTATTAATTGAAAATTAATGAAATTTCTAAATCAAATGATACATGAGATACTAAGGCATACAAAATTTGAATGACTAAAACATAAGTATTAATTCTCTTATAAATGAAATTTCTGAATCAAATGATATATGAGATACTAAAGACTCTGCTACTAAAGCAGAACATTAAAAGTCTGCTTTGCCCTATAAAATGCTCTTCATTCTAAGGCGTAAAAACAAAGTGCAAATCTTTCATCTAGGTCATATTGACTCTTACGGTGGAAATAATCAATGTAAAACTACATACTGTGAAATTACCAACAGAATAATCTATTTTCTTGGCTAAATTCATATCTACAAAATGTGCCTGAGGAAAACGAACTCTGTTGGGAATAGTGGTCACGACAGTGATGATTTAATTGTGCTATACAGAAAAATTGAATACAGAATTAAAGTGGCTAAGTGGTATTCACCACAGAAAATATTTTCTTGGCCAGGCACAGTGGCTCACACCTGTAATTCCAGCACTTTGGAAGGCCGAGGCAGGCGGATCACCTGAGCTCAGGAGTTCGAGACTAGCCTGGGCAACATGGAAAACCCTGTCTCTACTAAAAATTAGCCAGCTGTGGTGGTAGGCACCTGTAATCCCGGCTACTCAGGAGGCTGAGGCAGAAGAATCACTTGAACCCAGGAGGCAGAGGTTGCAGTGCGCTGAGACAGCACCACTGGGCAACAAGAGCAAAACTAACTCCCTCTCAAAGAAAAAAAAAAAAGTATTCACTGGGGAATAGGTGAAAAGTAATATATTCCTTGCTTTACTATTCCACTGTTTTAATATTAAACCATTATGATCTTAGTAAATGCACACGTTTATTTTGTATTGTGAGGATTGCTCACTGTTGAGTCTCTAGCACTTAGTATAGTGCCTGGCACACAGTAGAAGCTCAGTAAGTGTTTGTCAAATAAATAAATGGAAAATAAGGTAATAAGCACTTAGCACAGGGTCTGGCTCAAAGTGCTCAATAAATGGATGCTAGATTGGAATTGAAATCTTGCTTATCAGAACCACAATGCAAATTGTTCTTTAAAAAGCTGTAAAGACAAAAACAGCTTTAGCTTCTTGAGATCTAATATTTCTTTTTGTGGTTCTAGTGAATTACTCTGTCTTATGCCCTTGGAAATTGGTTGCATTATCTCTTAATGGAATCCCACCTTTCGCAACTAAGTCTCCATTCTAATATGATTTCTACTTAATTGAATTTATACAAATGACATATATCTCCATATAACTAATTCTATCTAATTAAATGACAAGATGTTTACATACAGAGTTGTTTGAGGTTAACTAAATTTTAGGGATTAATACTTGGTAGAAGGGAAGTAATTGTTTTTTTATTTTATACCCTTTTGTGCTATTTGAATGTTCTAATCATAAAAAAAAAAATCAAAGAGATTTATACAGCTGATGAGATTATGAGACACTGTAGCTTTCTTATTTTTACTTTTCTGTATTTAAAAAAGTGGGCTGGGCACAGTAGCTCACACCCGTAATCTCAGCACATTAGGAGGCTGACTTGGGATGATGTCTTGAGCCCAGGAGTTCAAGACCAGCCCAGGCAACATAATAAGATCTTGTCTCTACAAAAAAATTTTAAAAATTAGCCGGGCATGGTGGTGTGCATCTGTGGTCCCAGCTACTCCAGAGGCTTGAGGTGAGAGAACAGTTTGAGTCTGAGAGATCAAGGATGCAGTGCGCTGTGATTGTGTCACTGCACTACAGCCTGGGCAACTTGAAAGCCAGACCATGTCTTTTTTTTCCCCCCAGACGGAGTCTCGCTCTGTCACCCAGGCTGGAGTGCAGAGGCATGATCTTGGCTCACCATAACCTCTGCCTCCTGGGTTCAAGCAATTCTCCTGTCTCGGGGGCAGAGGAAGGCAGTCCCGAGTAGCTGGGACTACAGGAGCATGCCACCACACTCAGCTAATTTGTTTTTGTATTTTTAGTAGAGATGGGGTTTCACTGCATTAGCCAGGATGGTCTCGATCTCCTGACCTCATGATCTGCTTGCATCAGCCTCCCAAAATGCTGGGATTATAGGCGTGAGCCACCTTGCCAAGTCAAGACCTTGTCTTAAATAAAAATAAATAAATAAAAAGTGATTTTTTTTTATAATGTGGCTGTGGTACATATAATACTAAATTAAACCTTCTTGAGCTTATTCCAAGTATCTGGTAATACATTCAATTAGGCACAAAGCTGCTACCCCAAAACACAGACCATGGAAAACAAAAGGAAAATGTCACTGGGCACAGTGACTCACACCTGTGATCCCAGCATTTTGGGAGGCAGAGGTGGGAGGGCTGGTTGAGGTCAGGAATTTAAGACCAGCCTGGGCAACATGCAAGACCCCATCTCTATAAAAAATAAAAAGCCAGTGGGGGCTCACGCCTATAATCCCAGTTCTTTGGGAGGCTGAGGTGGATGGATCACAAGGTCAAGGGTTCAAGACCAGCCTGGTCAAGATTATGAAACCCCATCTCTACTAAAAACACAAAAAAATTAGCTGGACGTGGTGGCAGCCGCCTGTAATCCCAGCTACTTGGGAGGCCGAGGCAGGAGAATTACTTGAAACTGGGAGGTGGAGGTTGCAGTGAGACAAGATCAGGCCTCTGCACTCCAGCCTGGGCCACAGAGCAGGACTACATCTCAGAAAAAAATAATAATAAATAAAAATTAAAAATAAAAATTAGTAGGGCATGATGGTGCATGCCTATAGTCCCAGCTACTGCTGAGGTGAAAGCGCTGCTTGAGCCCTGAAGGGCAAGGCAGCAGTGAGCTATGACTGTACCATTATACTCCAGCCTAGGCGAGACCGTCTTTAAAACAAAAAATGTAAGAATGGTAGAACATCATTTTTCCTTCTTGTCTTTGTAGGATCCCAATGACATTCTACTGCAACAAGACCAAACTGTATGAAGCTAAGCTCTGTCTCCAGAACGCATGAAACCACCTCAACTTCTCCTGATGCTGGCTTCTTCTCAAAACAATCTGAAAGACACCTCCCTGGATATTTTGAAAATTCGGCTTCTGTTTTTCTGAGAAAAGCATATTAATAACTTCTGAATTCTCTGACATTGAAAAAATTGAACAGAGTGCTAGCTTTCACCTACTGGGAAACATTCAGAGCTAAGACCTACTAAAATGAGTAAAACTTTTAGTAAACTCTATCTAGTTTCATTTTTTAAATCTTTATAGTTTTTGTTTTACTAGTTCATATATTTCTTTCCTATATTTAAACTTTTCTGCCTGTTAGGTTTGGTACATTTATACCTTTTATAAAAGTCAATAATGACTACTTAGTTGAAGGAAAAAAGAGAAATTACTCGCTAAGTTTGTTGCCGAGTTCTTGAAGAGCTTGCTCTTGTTCGTGATATATTTTTTTCAACTGCTGATTTTCATCCTGGAGATTAAGGAACTCCTTCAGAATAAAAGACAGAAAATGCAATTTAAAAGAAAGAAAAACACGAAACTCTAGATTGTGCATATACCATTAATTAGAAATAAACATCCTTTAGCTTTTTAAAAGAAACAAACTGTGTTCAAAGCTCTTTCCTAGCTGCTACATGTATCAACTATTTTCCATTTACTTAATCTCTTTTTTTTTTTTTTGAGATGGTGTTTTGCTCTTGTTGCCCAGGCTGGAGTGCAATGGTGCAATCTCAGCTCACCACCAACCTCTAATTCCCAGATTCAAACAGTTTTCCTGCCTCAGCCTCTCAAGTAGCTGGGATTACATGCATATGCCACCACACCTGGCTAATTTTTGTATTTTTAGTAGAGACGGGGTTTCTCCATGTTGGTCGGGCTGGTCTCAAACTCCCAACCTCAGGTAATCCTCCTGCCTCTGCCTCCCAAAGTGCTGGGATTAAAGGCGTGAGCCACCTCGCCCAGCCTACTTAAGCTCTTTACTTATATTTTTTAAGATGACTAGTGTATCTGTTTCTTTGGTATAATATAAATTATGATTTATCTTTTTAAATAAGTTAACATTTGTCAAGATCGATTTTTTAAAGTTTTACCACTATTTACTTTTTTAAGACTAATAATTTGTTGAGTCTCATTTCTAAGATGAGATAAGGCATCTTTCTCCTTTTGAAGATCTTCCTGCAAAGTCTGCCTCCATTCCTTCTCAATCTTCAAGTCAGTTTCCAGTTGCACCCTTGAATGACAAATAACACACAAAAGCTCAGTGCTATTTTCACACGACAGTTGTTACATATTCTTTACTAAAGGCCTTTGTAATGCATTTTTTCAGACATTTTCTTTCATAAATATTTTTCGGTAAACAAGTTCAGCAGCACAGGGTTTTCCAATCACAAAGTATTCACTCCTTTGCCAGCCACTAAAAAATTCTTGCTAAACCATTTATATAAATGCCTTGGAAAGGCATACACAATATTAAAACTGGTTACACCTTGGGAATGGAACTAAGAGAAGGAATGTGAGGTTCTAATTGTCTTACACTTTTTGAGACGGAGTTTCGCTCTTGTTACCCAGGCTGGAGTGCAATGGTGCAATCTCGGCTCACCGCAACCTCCGCCTCCTGGGTTCAGGCAATTCTCCTGCCCCAGCCTCCTGAGTCGCTGGGATTACAGGCACGCGCCACCATGCCCAGCTAATTTTTTGTATTTTTAGTAGAGACGGGGTTTCACCATGTTGACCAGGATGGTCTCGATCTCTTGACCTCGTGATCCACCCGCCTCGGCCTCCCAAAGTGCTGGGATTACAGGCTTGAGCCACTGCGCCCGGCTAATTGTCTTACACTTCTATGCCATGTGAAAAATTTTACAACAAACAAAAAGAATTATTACAATATAAGAATTACAGCATTTGCTAAATCAGTGTAACTTCAGTAACAGAAAAATAAGCCCAGTTGCAGAGTGCTAATTTGCAGATTACTATTGGAAGCTGACCAGTTATAGGAAAGATCTAAGACCAAGCAGGCACTGGGGGAAAGTCCACACTGCCTGGAAATGCCAGTTCTGAAAGCACTCCTGCATTCTTCTTCTTCTTCTTTTTTTTTTTTTTTTTGAGACAGAGTCTTGCTACATTTCTAGGATGGACTCAAACTCCTGGGCTCAAGTGTTTCCACCTCAGCCTCTCACCATCTGAGACTATAGGCCTGCCACCAAAACTCCTATATTATTCTAACAGGCGCTAGCTGCCAAAGCAAACATAGTTGAATTTCCACACTTCAAGGTGACTAAAACAAAACCCACAAATCACTTCCATGATTATTGCTCATAAGTAGGTATAACAAGTGAGGCATTGTGTTCATATTTATTTTTTATTTCCTCATAGTTAGCATTTCCACATACAGCCATGTATTTGCCAGTGGAATAAATTTTAGATTTTATAATTCAGATCAAGAAGTGTACCTCAAAATGGAATTTACAAATTATTGATAAATACTATTTTACTACAAAGTTAAAATTTAAACAGCATCTCTTCAAATAATGTTATTTCATTACAACGTTCACAAGAAAACAACTGATTCCCACTGAAGTCACTTTCTGTGTGAAGCATTTGGGAGGCTAAGGCAGGAGGATCACTTGAGTCTAGGAGTTCAAGACACAGTCTGAGTAACAGCGTGAGACCATGCGTCTATAAGAAAAATAAAAAATTAAAGCCAGTTTAACTCTCAGTACCCTTTTGCCCTGTGATGCCTTCTGCCATGTTATGATGCAGCACAAAGCCCTCACCAGAAGATGACCAAATGTGGCTGCCCAATGTTGGATTTCCCAGATTCCGGAACTGTAAGAAATAAACCTGTTTCCTTTTTAAATTACCCAGTCTCAGGTATTCAGCTATATCAATAGAAAGTAAACTAATCCGGGCCAGGCACGGTGGCTCATGCCTGTAATCCCAGTGGTTTGGGAGGCCAAGACAGATGGGTCACCTGAGGTCAGGAGCTCGAGAGCAGCCTGGCCAACATGACGAAACCTTGTCTCCACTAAAAATACAAAAAAGTACCACCATGGTATGTGCGTACCTCTGCAACAATCCTGCAAGATCTGCACATGTACCCCAGAACTTAAAGTACAATTAAAAAAAAAAAAAGAAAAGGAAAAAAATACAGAAAATTAGCCGGGCATGGTGGTGTGTGCCTATAATCCCAGCTACTCAGGAGGCTGAGGCACAAGAATCACTTGAACCTGGGAGGCAGAGGTTGCAGTGAGCCAAGATTGTGCCACTGCACTCCAGCCTAGGCAACAGAATGAAAAGTCCCTCTCAAAAAATACGAAGTAAACTAATCCAATCTATCCCTGGATCTAAGGGAAAAAAACAAACAAACAAAAAGAAAACAAAGTATCTCTCAAGCAACCCCGCTGGTAACAATGGAACCCACGTGAGTAACTCAGGACTTGAATCCCTATGCATCAGTAACAAGGCATTTCTTTTCTTTTTCTTTTTTTTTGGGAGACAGAATCTTACTCTGTCACCCAGGCTGGAGTACAGTGGCACAATCTTGGCTCACTGTAACCAGGTTCAAGTGATTCTCTCACCTCAGCTTCCCTAGAAGCTGGGATTACAGGCACTCGCCACTATTAATTACAGGCACTCACCTGGCTAATTTGTATTTTTAGTAGAGATGGGGTTTCACCACATTGGCCAGACTGGTTTCAAACTCTTGACCTCAGGTGATCCACCTGCCTCAGCCTCCCAAAGTTCTGGGATTACAGGCATGAGCCACCATGCCCGGCCTAACAAGGTATTTCTTAACCACCCCCACGGTATCAGTGAAAGCCAATTGAGAGCCTAGATTACCCCCACCCAGTGGTCCTCTCTCCTCCAAGAAGGTTTTGGTAGAAACCAAGAGGGGAGCCTGGACTTCCACTACCATCCAACAGTAACATGGCATCTCTCCCCTTCTCCACAGTATCAGTGGAAGCTGACCGGAAAGCTCAGATTTCAATCCCTGCAGTTACTAGGCACCCTTCTCTATCCCACCTGGGATGGTCTTGGGCTTCCATCTCCATTTGATGTAAACAGTTACTGTCCACATCCCCCTACTAGTGTGATTTCAGTGGAGAACTGCCAAAACGACATATAAAATCCAGTCATCTTATACCCAAAGTATCCTGGATGTGACTGAAAAACATCTGTCATACTAAGGCCCAGGAAGGTCTCAAGTTAGGTGAGAAATCAATCAACAAATGCTAACATTATAGTTCCAGATGGTGGAATTATCTGCCAAGAATTTTAAAGCAGCCACCGTTAAAATGCTCCCACTACCAAGTAAGACACACCTGAAAAATCAAGAGGAAAGAAAAAAGAAAGGAAATAAACACAAAAAAGAAGACAAGCCTGGCGCCATGGCTCACATCTATAATCCCCACACTTTGGGAGGCCAAGACAGGAGGATCACTTGAGACTAGGAGTTCAAGACCACACTGGACAACACAGCATAGCCCTCATCGCTACAAAAAAAGAGAAAAATAAATTAGCCAAGCATAGTGGTGAATGCCTGTAGTCCTAGCTACTCAGGAAGCTTGGGCAGAAAGATCACTTGAGCCCATGCCAGGCGCGGTGGCTCATGCCTGTAATCCTAGCACTTTGGGAGGCCGAGGTGGGTGGATCACCTGAGGTCAGGAGTTCAAGACCAGCCTAGCCATCATGGTGAAACCCCATCTTTTAAAAAAAAAAAAAAAAAAAAAAAAAAAAGATCACGTGAGCCCAGAAGTTCAAGTTCACGGTGAGCCATCATCATGCCACTACCCTACAGCCTGGCCAACAGTGAGACCCTATCTCAAAACAAAACAAACAATGAAAGAAAACAGATCAAATGGAAATCTTAGGACTTAAAAATACAATAATCTTGCTGAAAGGGCTCAAAAGAAGAATGAAGATGGTGAGGAAAGAATAAATGAATTTGAAAATATAACAACAGAAATTATCCAATCTGAACAGGAACCTGTGGGACTATTTAAAAAAAGATTAAACATTCATGGTATCAGAGTTTCTGAAGGAGAGGAGAAAGTAACTGACACTGAAAAAAAATAAAAATTTCCCAAATTTGACAAAGACATAAACCTACAGATATAAAAAGCTAATAAAATCCCAAATAGGTTAAATACCAAAAATATTTTTTGAAAGTAGTAAGACAAAAATGACATTAACACCTAAAGAAAAACAACAATTCAAATGACAGTGTATTTTTTATCAGAAAACCATGAAGGCCAAGAGAAAGTGGCATTAAGATTTCTCTAGTGCTAAAAGAACTGCCAACCCAGAACTGTATGCCCAATGAAAATACCTTTCAGAAATGAAGGTAAAACAGAATTTATTGCCAACAGACCTACCCGAAAACAATGGCTAAAGAGCTAGGCATGGTGGCTCACACCCATAATCCCACCTACTCAGAAGGCTGAGGCTGCAGAATTGTTAGAGGCCAAGCGTTCAGGACTAGCCTAAGCAACATAATAAGACTTCATCTCTAAAAAAAAAAAAAAATTAAGGCCAGGTGCGGTGGCTTATACCTGTAAACCTAACAATTTGGAAGAGATGCATTCAAAAATGCTACAGATAAATCAAAATGGAATTCTAAATAATGTTCATGTAACTTATGGGAAGGCAGGAAAAATCAAAGAGGAACAACAAACAGGAAAAACAAATTAAACAATAAAGTGGTAGACTTAAGCTCTATTGTATCAATAATTACAATAAATATAAATGGACTAAATACATCATGAAAAGACAGAGTTGGGAGAATTGATTTAAAAAGCATGAAGCAGGCCAAGCACAATGGCTCATGCCTATAATCCAGGCTGAGGCAGAGGGATCAGTTGAGGCCAGGAGTTGCAGACCAGCCTGGAATACATAGCAAGACCTCCATCTCTTTAAAAAAAAATTTGTTTTATTAGCCAGGCACAGTGGCGCATGCCTGCAGTCCCAGCTACTCAGGAGGCTGAGGCAGAAGGATCTCTTGAGCCCAAGAACTGGAGGCTCCAGTGAGCTATGATGGCATCACTATACTCCAACCTGGGCAACAAAGCACAAGACCCTGTCTCTAAAATACAAACAAACAACAACAAAAACATGAACTATGTGCTGTCTATAAGAAACTTCAAGCTGGGAGCAGTGGCTCATGCCTGTAATCCCACACTTTGGGAGGCCAAGGTGGGAGGATCACTTGAGCTCAGAAGTTCAAGATCAGCATGGACAACATAGCAAGACCTTGTCTCTAGTAATAAATAAATAAATAAGCAAGCTGGGCATGGTGGCATAATACCTGTGGTCCCAGCTACTCTGGAAGCTGAGGCTGGGAGGATCGTTTGAGCCTAGGAGATAAGGCTGCAATGAGCTCTGATCATGCCACTGCAATACAGCTTAGGCAACAGAGTGAGACCCTGTCTCAAAAAAAAAAAAAGGAAAAGAAACTTGAAGCCAGGCATGGTGGCTCACACCTGTAATCCCAACACTTTGGGAGGCAAAGGTGGGAGGATCACTTGAGGCTAGGAGTGCAAGACTAGCCTGGGCAACATAGCAAGACCCTGTCTCTCCAGAAGAAAAAAAAAAAAACTTCGAACATTATAAAGGTAGACTGAAAGTAAAAAAATGGAAAAATACAAATATTCATCAACAGAAAGCAGAGTAACTATACTAATATCAGAAAAATTAACTTCAGAGCAAAACAAAATTACCAAAGAAATACATCATATAATGACAAAAGGGTCAATCTACTGAGAAGACATATTAACAGTCCTGAATATGTAGGCACCAAGTAACAGAGTTTTAGAATACAATATGTAAAAACTGATAGAACTGAAAAACATATCCAATCTACAATCACAGTTGGATATTTCAACAAATTCTCCCTCAATAATTAAAAATGACTAGACAGAAAATCACTAAGGATAGAGAAGAACTTAACACTTTCACAGATATAAAGGCAGCTTAGCAACTTAAACATCATACATGGCATGTGGCCTTGTTTTAATGATCTGTTTATATATAACTATTTTCCACTGTTGGCTTTCTTTTTTCTTTTAATAACAGAATGGTACACATTAAAACTGGGGAAAAAATACTGATGTTTATAAAGTAAAACTAAAATGCCCCTGTCAACCTGCCACCACTCACCTGAAATAACCCCTCCCTAGAATCTTTATTCTTTAAAATCTTTTCTATCTATGCATAAACATATATGCATGCATGGTTTTAATTTTATTTTTAAAACCGAATCATATTTGGCCGGGTGCAGTAGCTCACACCTGTAATCCCAGCATTTTGGGAGGCCAAGGCAGGTGGCTCACAAGGTCAGAAGTTTGAGACCAGCCTGGCCAACATGGTGAAACCCCAACTCTAATAAAAATACAAAAAAAATTAGCCAGGCGTGGCGGCACATGCCTGTAGTCCCAGCTACTCGGGAGGCTGAGGCAGGAGAATTGCTTGAACCCAGGAGGTAGAGGCTGTAGTGAGCCAAGATCACGCCTCAGCATTCCAGCCTGGGTGACAGAGCAAGACTCCAACTCAAAAAAAAAAAAAAAAAAAATTGAATCACATTTGGATATTGTCTGCAACTTGCTTTTTGTCAACACAATGACATACACTAACATCCTTCCTGGTTGGTGATATACAGTACTAATAAAAATGTTCTCAGAAGCTGGGCATGGTGGCTTACTTCTGTAATCCCAACACTTTGAGAGTTGAGGCGGGAAAATCACCTGAGGCCAGGAGTTAGAGATCAGCCTGGACAACATAGCAGACCCCATTTCCACGATTTAAAAAAAAAATGTTCAGGAGCTAAATGATAAGAACTTATGACCACAGAGAAAGAAACAATAGATACAGGGGTCTATTTGAGGTGGGAGGGTAGAAGGAGGGAGAGAAGCAGAAACAATAACTATTGGGTGCTGGGCTTAATACCTGGGTGATAAAATAATATGTACAACAAACCCCCATAACATGTGTTTACCTAGTAACAAACCTTCACATGTATCCCCAAACCCAAAATAAAAGTTTTTAAAAAATCAGAGACAAAAAAAAAAAAAAGTTGACCAGGCACAGTGATTCGTGCCTGTAATCCCAACACTCTGGGAGGCTGAGGTAGGCGGATCACCTTAGGTCAGGAATATGAGACCAGCCAGCCCAAGGTGATGAAACTTCATCTCTACTAAAAAACACAAAAAGTGGCTGGGTGCAGTGGCTCACGCCTGTAATCTTGGCACTTTGGGCACGTCAAAACAGGCAGATCACAAGATCAGGAGTTGAGACCAGCCTGGCCAATATGGTGAAACACTGTTTCTACTAAAAACACAAAAATTAGCCAGGCATGGTAGTGGGTGCCTGTTATCTCAGCTACTCGGGAGGCTGAGACAGGAGAATCACTTGAACCTGGGAGGCGAAGGTTGCAGTGAGCCAAGATCACGCCACTGCACTCCAGCCTGGGTGACAGAGCAAGACTGTCCCAAAAACAAACAAAAATACAAAAAATTAGCTGGGTGTGGTGGTGCGAGCCTGTAGTCCCAGCTACTCAGGAGGCTGAGACAGGAGTATTGCTTGAACCCAGAAAGCAGAGGTTGCAATGAGCCAAGATTGTGCCACTGCACTCCAGCCTGGGTCACACAGTGAGACTCCATCTCAGATAAAAAAATAAACAAAAAAGTTGATTTAAAAAAATATTATCAGGACTGGGCATGGTGGCTCACGTGGCTCATGCCTGTAATCCCAGCACTGTGGGAGGCTGAGGCAGGCAGGTCACCTGAGATCAGGAGTTTGAGACCAGCCTGGCAACATGGTGAAACCTCGTCTCTGCTAAAAATATAAAATTAGCCGGGCAGGGTGGCGCATGCCTGTAATATCAGCTACTCAGGAGGCTGAGGCAGGAGAATCTCTTGAACTGGAAGGTGAAGGCTGCAGTAAACTGAGATTACACCACTGCACTCCAGCCTGGGTGACAAGCAAAACTCTACCTCAAAAAAAAAATATATATATATGTATGTATATTCTCAGAAAACAGCATGTCCTTTAATAAGTTACTTGTAGTTACAAAAGCCTATTACACTCAGCACCTAGAAACATAATGACCATCAGATTAATGTTAAACAACAGAAAAAGGCCCAGTGCGGTGGCTCACACCTGTAATCCCAGCAGTTTGGGAGGCTGAGGCGGGCGGATCACCTGAGATTGGGAGTTTGAGACCAGCCTGACCAACATAGAGAAACCCCATCTCTACCAAAAATACAATATTAGCCAGGCGTGGTGGTGCATGCCTGTAATCCCAGCTACTCAGGAGGCTGAGAAATCACTTGAACCCAGGAGGCAGAGGTTGCGGTGAGTCAAGATCACACCATTGCATTCCAGCCTGGGGAACAAGAACAAAACTCCGTCTCAAAAGAAGGAAAAAAAAAAACAACAGAAGAATGAATAAAACTCTCCTAGAGCAAGAAGACAGCAACACAGAGTTTAAAGTACTCTGTAAACAATAAAGAGAGTAAAAACATAAGTATTATCACAACTATATTTTCTAATTTTTTTGTTTTTTAAAGTAAACACTAAAATCTAGCTGGCATCATTAGATAAAATATTGGTATTCTATCATTATGTGCAAAAAAATGGGGCGGTATGTTAATATAAGTATTTTGTTTCTAAGAACGAAATACTCACAGCTGTTTCTCCTTTTGGGAGATTTGTTTCTGCAGACTGTCAGATTTACTGAGACATTCTTGTAGATATTTTTCGTCCTCATCTTCAGCTTCCATTTGCGCCTTCTCTGCTTGCTGCAATCTGGTGTAATTCAAATCAACTTTGGGTAAAACTGAGGCTAGAACTAGGGTGTAAAAGGGTGAAGAAGACAAATAAAAGAAAAATGGGGAAATAGAAACATTTCTAAATGAAAACAAAGTTTGGGGGAAAACTCACAAACTCAAACGTGAAAGAGCCACACAATGTCTTTAAGTTGTTTTGTGATTTTTTTTTTCAATATAACATGTAGTATGCCCAGAGTACTATCTTCAAATTTGTTTTATTTCTTGTTCATAATTAACAATGCAAAGCAATACAGCCTTTACCATTTAAGCAGAGGATCATGAATCAAATTTCAAAGCATAATAGGTATGTTACTACCTTTTTACAAACCAAGAAGAGCACAGAATTTATGTCTACACTAGCTGAAGAAGCCACATTGTTATATGTTATGCAAGGATGTGTATGCCAGGAATCAAGTGTGCTACAAGGCCAGGAGAAAAACCTGCAGTTACTCCAAATGATAGCTAAGTCCTTCTTACAGCGTCTTTATGCATTTACTAAATTATGCCAAAGCTCTATGTATGTGTGTGTGTGCACATATGCATATGTTTAAAATTCAAAAAGAATCTGGTGCCAGTTGGCATCATTCTCTAGAGATCATTTTTGTTCCTGACCATTTAATATTAAAAATTAGCTAAAACATTGTGATTTTCATCTTTCCTGTTTTTATTTGTAAGTCATTGCATTTTCCTGTGCTTAGCTCCACTCCCTGCCTTCTTTGGCCGTCTAGGATTTCTTATATTTAACTTCAATATTTTTATAAGAAAGTATTTCCCAAGATTCAAAGGATATTAACTCCTTGCAGGAAATCACAAGAGAAATTTCGGTTCAACTAACCTAAAAACTCTTCCTCTTCCTTTCTTCCATAAAACCATACCAATGGAGCAACCCTCATGTATTTTGGGGGTATAAATGCTGCTTCCAAGGAAAGGAGAGTAACATTTAAGTTATCTCCAAATCTAAGTTTAAATTAAAATATTAAGGTGGACCCAAGCTTTTCTCTAAGGTTACAAAAAGGAAAATGAAAGTCAGAGCGAGGTAGGCCTTGAAATTGTGCTATCACAGAAGAGGGCAAGGGAGAATTGGAAAACTGAAAAGCTGAAGCACAGGATGATGGCCAGTCTGGGTTATAAATTATTTTAAAGCATATGTAAAAATCTGTAAGGGAGCCAATGGGCAGAGTGGGCCAATGAGAAAAATATATCTGTGCCAACACAGTATAAAACCAAAGGTTAAGTTATTTTTAAACAATCTTTATATTTTTCATCAAAAAGTAGCTAAAAAGATAAAACTGCATTTGAAAATCCTGACCTCCAAAGGGTCAATACTCAAATCAGCCTTTGTGCACAGGTTTGAGGAATGTATGTCTGGAAATCCAAGTGCACCCACTCTGCTTTATGGCAGTGTATTACCACAGCAGCTGACCAAAAAATGTACAGGGTTCCTAACACCCTTTTAGAATATTTAATAGCATCGATTCCTTTCTATTTAATATATTATAAAATTGTTGATTTTCTTTTCATTGAGTCTGTTTAGATACAAGTGGTCTTCAGAAAGATATATCTTTGACCAGCTTGTACTGGTCCTGAGTGTCACTGCTGGCACATTTCACCAACGACATTGCAATTGTCCTAGTTTGAGTTAACAAATCGTTGTCACTTCATAATGGAATGGAAAGAAATCAAAGACAGAAAAAGGTAATAAAGATGTCCAAAATGTAAAAATGGGGATAAAGAAAACAAAAAAGAAAAAAGAAGAAAGAGGATGTCAATAAAAGAATATTCATGTCAATAAAGCATTAATAGTTATGTTTTTCATAAGTAGATTCAAAGAAAGCAATGATAAAAGACATATGTTGACACCAACATGACAGGGCAATGGAAATACATTACATTTTCCAACAATAAAAGTGAAAAATGCCAATATAAAACAATTCAATTTAAACAAAATTGTATCTTCAGTTGGGTTGAAGGTCCTAGCTCGAAGAAACAAAACTAAACCACCAATTCGGAATGCTTGATTTCAGATCAACAGATGGTGAATGGCAAAGAATATGACAATTAATATGCATGGAAATCAATCAGGGATAATCTCACTCTGTTTGTTCACTTTTAATTTTCTTGACATTTTAATTTGTGTATTTGTTTTATGTAATTGATTGAAACACATGAAACTGCTGATATTAGGCCTCTAAGAAAAATCTACAATATGACAACTTGAAATGAATCAGCATAATATAAAGCAACTTGATTCCATGCAACAACCAAAACAAAACGGCAAAATCCTGCTGTGCTTACACAAAAAACATGTCCTAATCTATGTCTTCCTAATGGTTTTTGTGGCAGGCGTCAGAACTGAATAAAGAAAAAGGGGAGAAGAAAAGAAAAAAAAAGAAACTAAGGCTGGAAATGCTGTACCTTTGTTCCAGCTGCCTCATGGCTGCAGTAATTTTATTGGTTTTTTCTTCTAGTCGGGCAATTATTTCATTTTTTTCTTTCAAGCCATCTTCAGAACCCTATTTACAAAAACAAAAGCTATGGTGTTTTTATTTTTTTTTTTCTGTTTTTTAAGAGACAGGGTTTCACTGTGCTGCCCAGGTTAGGTTTGAACTTCAGTCTCCCAAGCAGAGTTTTGATCTTTTAACCTGAATATTTATAAGTTTCTTACACCATTTTGCTATGGGACTGTTACTTTTAAATGAAAAGAGTTACTTTGTACATTAAAATAATTGTGCCATATAAAACACTGCTATTAATTTTTTTTTTTTTTTTTTTAAGATGGGGTTTTGCTATGTTGGAACTCCTGGCCTCAAGCAATCCTTCCATCTTGGCCTCCCAAAGGGCTAGGATTACAGGCATGAGCCATGGCACCCAGCCTTTATTAATCTTCATTTAAAATGTTAATAGGATGGGTGCAGTGACTCATATCTGTAATCCCAGTGCTTTGGGAGGCCAAGGTGAAAGGATAGCTTGAGACTAGCCTGGGCAATATAGTGAGACCTCATCTCTACAGAAGGCAAAACAAAAAACATCGTTTTTTCCCCAGAACCTAAAGATTTTTTTCCCAGAACCTAAACAAAAAAATTTTTTTAATAAAATGTAATAAAGAAAACTCACCCTTCAATATTTTTGGAAGATGACAGCATACATTCTTGTAAAATATGACATTTTTCAAATTAATTAAATTGTAAAGGGTTTTTGGCAACAAATCTACTTAATAGCACCATAATCTTAGAAAATTTACAATTATGGGCCAGGCATGGTGGCTCACTCCTGTAATCCCAGCACTTTGGGAGGCTGAGGTGGGCGGAACACCTGAGTCAGGAGTTCGAAACTAGCCTGGCCAACACTGTGATACCCTGTCTCTACTAAAAATACAAAAAGCAGTTGGGCATATTGGTGCATGCCTATAGTCCCAGCTACTAGGGAGGCTCAGGCAGGAGAGGCTTGAACCTGGGAGGCTTGAACCTGCACTCCAGCCCAGGCAACAGAGTGAGACTCTGTCTTTTAAAAAAAAAAAAAAAAAGGGGAAAGAAAGAAAATTTACTATTATAATAGTGTAGCATTTCAATTGAAATTAAATCTTTCCTGGGACTATACTGTAAAAAAAAGTTCATAAAAACGTCTTGCAGTTTAAATTGAGTTTTCCCAAAAGATTTTTTTTTTTTTAAAAGACAGAGTTTCACCATGTTGGCCAGGCTGGTCTTAAACTCCTGACCTTAGGTGATCTGCCCACCTCTGCCACTCAAAGTGCTGGGATTACAGGCGTGAGCCACCACGCCCGGCCCCTTCCCAAAATATTTAATTTTCATACTCTTAACCTTTCAGCATTAAAAAAAACAATTTAGACAGGTGTTATTTTGTTTGTTGGTACCTTTTTCATTATATTTCTTAAAATTTCATTTAGAAAAAAAGACATTGGACTTTATAACTAATATGGTACAGTTAAAATGGGCTCATCTTAAAAACCAAAACCTTTCTACAAATATCTACTTGCAATTTATAAAAAATTAAGAACAATCCTTACCTGCAACTTTTGATACATCTCTATGTTAATTGCTTTAACTTCCTCTAGTTGTTGTCGAAGACCTATCAGAGTATCTTGTTTCTCATGGATATCTTTCTCCAGCAACTTCATGGCAAGTTCAATCTCATGCTTCATACTAACTTGTACTGCGAGCTCATTCTCCACATCCTGCAATTTCAATATATTCTCAATTCACATTCCACTTCAGGATGTAAAATTAAATAAACTTTATGAAAGATTTTCCCTTCAATATACAGACTACACTTTTTAAGTCCATTAAAGGAAATCAACCAGGCCCTATAACCACACAATAAATATTTTGAAACGCAGGGTTGGGCGCGGTGGCTCATGCCTGTAATCCCAGAATTTTGGGAGGCCGAAATGGGTGGAGCAGTTGAGGTCAGGAGTTCGAGACCAGCCTGACCAACATGGTAAAACTCCATCTCTATCAAAAAATACAAAAACTTAGCTGGGCATGGTGGCATGCACCTATTTACCCAGTTACTAGAAAGGGTGAAGTAAGAGGATCACTTGAACCCGGGAGGCAACAGTTGCAGTGAGCCAAAATCACGCCACTGCACTCCAGCCTGGGTAATGGATTAAGAGCCTGTCTCAAAAAATATTTTTAAATGCAGTTTTTGCTAAAATGAAAGCATTTTCTATATTCTGTTAATCATTATTTTACTGGTTTAAGAATTAATCATTTTCATGCTTCACAAATTTGATATTAGTTTTCCTTAAACAAAAGGAAATGAAGCAGTCTATACAAGCAAAGGCCAAAGTTAAAACACAGTTTAATTTCTTAAGAATTTTTTTATCACTGGACGCAGTGGCTCACGCCTATAATTCCAGCACTTTGGGAGGCCGAGGCGGCAGATCACCTGAGGTCAGGAATTCAAGACCAGCCTGACCAACATGGAGAAACCCTGTCACTTTAAAAAAAAAAAAAAAAAGAATTTTTGTTAAGAAATTTATTAACATAAAGACAGAAAAGGTGATAGAAAGACTGGCAATATTCTCTTCTTGACCTGGGTGGTGGTCATACAGGTTATTTGTGTTATAATTCATTAAGCTGTGCATTAGTATTTTTTCTGTTGGCATTATATTTCACAATTTGAAAGGTTAAAAAACAAGTTAACTTTATGATTTTCCTAATATTTAAATATGTTGTTCTTTTCTATTTCATTTTCTATAATGCTGGTCACAACCCATTCATTCACAATCATATACTATAACTTAGAGTTTAAAAACCACTGATACAGGCCGGGCACAGTGGCTTGCCCCTGTAATCCCAGCACTTTGGGAGGCCAAGGCAGGCAGATCACTTGAGGCCAGGAGTTTGAGACCAGCCTGGCCAAAATAGCAAAGCCCCATTTCTATAAAAAATACAAAAATTAGCTGGGTGTGGTGGCACATGCCTATAGTCCCAGCTAGTCAGGAGGCTCAGGTACATGAATCACTTGAACCCGGGAGGCAGAGGCTGCAGTAAACCAAGATCGCACCTCTGCACTCCAGCCTAGGTGACAGAGCAAGACCCTGTCTCAAAACAACAACAGGCTGGGCACGGTGCCTCATACCTGTAATTCCAACACTTTGGGAGGCCAAGGCAGGTGAATCACTTGAGGCCATGAGTTCGACACCAGCCTGGCCAACACAGCAAAATTCCATCCCTAGAAAAAATATAAAAATTAGCCTCAAGCCTCAAGCACCATTTAAAATCTCAGCCTTATTCTTTTTGGTGTGGTATAGCAAGCTCACCCCTTAATCCTTTCAAATTTTCTAAGCTTCCACTGTATCAGTGTTTTGTTGTTTTGAGATGGAGTCTTGCTCTGTCACTTAGGCTGGAGTGCAGTGGCGCGATCTTGGCTCACTGCAGCCTCTGCCTCCTGGGTTCATGTGATTCTTGAACCTCAGCCTCCCAAATAACTGGGACTACAAGGCATGTGCCACCATGCCTGGCTAATTTTTGTATTTTTTCTAGGGATGGAATTTTGCTGTGTTGGCCAGGCTGGTGTCGAACTCATGGCCTCAAGTGATTCACCTGCCTTGGCCTCCCAAAGTGTTGGAATTACAGGTATGAGGCACCGTGCCCAGCCTGTTGTTGTTTTGAGACAGGGTCTTGCTCTGTCACCTAGGCTGGAGTGCAGAGGTGCGATCTTGGTTTACTGTAGCCTCTGCCTCCTGGGTTCAAGTGATTCATGTACCTGAGCCTCCTGAGTAGCTGGGACTATAGGCATGTGCCACCACACCCAGCTAATTTTTGTATTTTTTATAGAAATGGGGCTTTGCTATTTTGGCCAGGCTGGTCTCAAACTCCTGGCCTCAAGTGATCTGCCTGCCTTGGCCTCCCAAAGTGCTGGGATTACAGGGGCAAGCCACTGTGCCCGGCCTGTATCAGTGGTTTTTAAACTCTAAGTTATAGTATATGATTGTGAATGAATGGGTTGTGACCAGCATTATAGAAAATGAAATAGAAAAGAACAACATATTTAAATATTAGGAAAATCATAAAGTTAATCCTATACATTATTCCCAGGATGATTTTGCTAATGTAATTTTTAATATAACCTACCTGTCGTAACTGAGATTCATCTCGAAGCTGCCTTCTGGCTTCATTATACATTTCATCTAGCCCCTGACGAGAATGCTTATATGTTTGAAGCTCAGTTTCCACATCTACTTTGGTAACCTAGAAAGAAAACAAAATTTTTCATTCTATAATTACTACTATTCATACAGCACAGACATACCTACTTCATGCAAAAGTCCCTAAAAATGGTCATTTCCGACACGAGACAGTCTGCTTGAAAGCAGTCTATACTTACCTCTAGGTGCTGCTGTGCTTTCATTAAAATCAATTTATTTTCACTTCGTAATTGATGATTTTCTTCTTGGAGTTTAATGATATTATTCTTTGCTATTGCTAACTAAAAATAATGGAATAGGGGCAAGAAAAAAGACTTTAAACACCCTTTTATTTGTTTTACAGGTTATGTGCATGGCCATAAATAACAGAAAATAAAATCTTTACAACTAGCAAAATGTCACAATCACAGAAACGTTTATAAGAAAAATATGCTCGTTGTTATCCCAAGACACTAATTTTAAAAATTGTATTCTTACTTCCTTTTGAACTACTCCAACTATTTTCTTTTATAGTTGAAACACATTAGGTTTATTTGTTATGCTTATACTAAACATATATGCTTGCTATAGTATTTACACTATGTCCTGAATACAAAGTGTCTGAGTAAACAAAGAAGTATTTATTAAATAACAAAAACTTTCAAGATTTGTGTAAAGATAAAAACATGTATAAGGAAATGTGCTATCATTGAAAATGTAATACAGACATTTGTTGTAACTGAATAGGATACCTCATGAAATCTGCACATGTAATAGGAACTTAAGCAACTATGACAAACATGAGATAGGTCTTATCATGAGTTAAACAGGAATGATCAAGTGGTTTGACTCTGCACCCAGAATGAAAAGAGAGATCCTATGAAAGCAAAGCAAAGACCAGGCATGGTAGCTCATGCCTGTAATCCCAGCACTTTGGGAGGCCAAGGCGAGTGAATCATGAGGTCAGGAGTTCAAGACCAGCCTGGCCAACATGGCGAAACCCCAACTCTACTAAAAATATAAAAATTAGCCTGGGCCGGGCGCGGTGGCTCAAGCCTGTAATCCCAGCACTTTGGGAGGCTGAGGCGGGTGGATCACAAGGTCAAGAGATCAAGACCATCCTGGTCAACATGGTGAAACCCCGTCTCTACTAAAGATACAAAAAATTAGCTGGGCATGGTGGCGTGTGCCTGTAATCCCAGCTACTCAGGAGGCTGAGGCAGAAGAATTGCCTGAACCCAGGAGGCGGAGGTTGCAGTGAGCCGAGATCGCGCCATTGCACTCCAGCCTGGGTAGTATGAGTGAAACCCCGTCTAAAAAAAAAAAAAAAAATTAGCCTTAGCCGGGCAAGGTTAGCATGCACCTGTAATCCCAGCTACTCAGGAGACTGAGGCGGGAGAATTGCTTAAACCTGGGAGGTGGAGGCTGCAGAGAGCTGAGATCTGCCACTGCACTCCAGCCTGGGCAACAGAGTGAGGCTCCATCTTAAAAAAAAAAAAAAAAAAAAAAGCAAAGCAGAGATCATTCCCTAATGATGGTCTGCAATTAACACATTTCTGAACACTTTATCAGGGATCAACTTGAACTTCATAGTGCTACTAAAGTCAAGAAGAGGCACAAATTTGTGAGCACCTCTAAAGGGGTCTCAATCAGGAGCCCAAACATCAAAATAAAGATGCATTCTTAACTGCAGTCATGCAAATTATCATGTGTTCCTTGGTTTGGAAAAATTAGGCCAATTTTAAAAGAAATGAGAATGTTAACATGGAAAATAGGGTTCACAGTACAAATAACAGAAGCCTAAATATTTCTGAAAATATGTAAGCAATAATTCTGTGGTTTAATAAATTTTTTTTTTGAAAACCCCATCTAGAAAGCAATTCTACAATAAAGAGAGCCGAGATAAATTTCTGGTTCTGATTCAGATGCACTCTAGGATCACCAGACGGCTACTTTTACAACGCAAGAAACCACAGCATGTGGGATGAGTTTTACATATGGGAAGGTGGAAAAAGTGGGCCGGGCGTGGTGGCTCACGCCTGTAATCCCAGCACTTTGGGACGCTGAGGCGGGCAGATCACAAGGTCAAGAGATCGAGAACATCCAGGCCAACATGGTGAAACCCCGCCTCTACTAAAAAATACAAAAAATTAGCTGGGCATGGTGGTGCGTGCCTGTAGTTCCAGCTGCTCAGGAGGCTGAGGCTGGAGAATTGCTTGAACCCTGGAGGTGGAGGTTGCAGTGAGCCAAGATCATGCCACTGAACTCCAGCCTGGAGCCTGGTGACAGAGTGAGCCTCTTGTCTCAAAAAAAAAATAAATAAATAAAAAATAAAAATAAAAAAAAAGGTCAACATAATCAAGCAGTGATACCTGCGAAGAAAAGTAACCTGACTAGTGGAAGAGTGGAAACAGAGGGACGGTTATCATTTTAACAAGAATTTCTCTTTTTTTAATGTGGTTTTTATTATTATTATACTTTAAGTTCTGGGATACATGTGCAGAATGTGTAGGTTTGATACATAGGTACACATGTGCCATGGTGGTTTGCTGCACTTAACAATAATTTCTAATATAGGTGACTTCACTAGGTAAATACAGGTCATCCAGATTTTAAAATGAGAATCACAGCTTAAATATTGAAGAGTTTGTGTGAGTTTCATCTCTGAGGCTCATTTCTAGAAGGTATCTCAAATATAGTATCTTACAGATACACATAACTGAGGATTTGCCTAAGAATATATGGTTTCTCTAGAACTTATAATAATTAGTTACAACTATATTACAAGTACTGCACCACAATGAGTTTGCGTTCATCTGTGTGTATGCTTAATGCATTCATACTTAAAATGGAAAAGGATCACAAACACTAGGTCCATGAAATATATTTATCCATTAGACAATACCTCTTCAATCAGCTTAGTATTTGACTTTTCTAATGAATCAACTCGTGAATGGAGGCTGCTGACTGTGCTGCTGAAATTAATAAAGAAAAAAACTCATTCAAAATCACACAAACTCACAAAGGTACAAAAACGTATGTTATCCTAGACATACTTATTATGTTTACTGACAGGCACCAATGCCCTGTCCAAATTTCTCAGTGTGGAAAATTTCATTAGCTTGGATAACTTGATTTAGTTAGGAGGGCAATAAAGAGTATAGCAAAATAATATTTCTATTAAAATTCCATTTGGTGCTACTTTTTTTTTTTTTGAGACAGAGTCTTGCTCTGTCACCTAGGCTGGAGTGCAGTGGTGAGATCTCAGCTCACTGCAACCTCTGCCTCCCAGGTTCAAGCAATTCTCCTGCCTCAGCCTCCTGAGTATATGGGATTATAGGTACGCACCACTGTGCCTGGCTAATTTTTGTATTTTTAGTACAGACTTGGTTTCACCACATTGGTCAGGCTGGTCTTGAACTCCTCACCTCACGATCACCCCCTTCAGCCTTCCAAAGTGCTGGAATTACAAGTGTCAGCAACTGCACCTGGCCTACTCATTTTTTTAAATTGCCTTCTTAGGGTCCTTCTAAATTTAACTGAAAATATTTGGGAATAAAAATCCCACACAAAGATTACTAAATATTGTTAAAATTATATTTAAAAGGATGAACTTTAAATGCCTACTTTATATGGTTTGATGAAACATATAAACAATGGTCTTTAATTCAAGTTCCATTCTGTTTCCCCTCTCCATTTTCATAAGAACTCGACCTCCAATGTCAACCATGGTTTGAGAAATATATTCATATTTCTCAATGAGATACCCAGCATCGGGTTATTAGTATCAAGTATCTGGCAGCTAAACACCCTGTCTTTCAAAGGAAATAGTCGAAGGTCAGATTATACCAGATGAACACACTTTTTTTTTTTGCATTTTTGTTTAAATGAATCAAGATTGGACATTATCGTATGTTTTATTTAAAATGTTGGACAGGTGTGGCGGCTCACACCTGTAATCCCAGCACTTTGGGAGGCAGAACCTGAAAGACAGAGGTTGCAGTGAGCCGAGATCACACCACTGTACTCCAGCCTGGGCAACAAGAGCAAAACTCCATCTCAAAAAAAAGGGAAAATAATAAAAAAAAGAGAATGTTGTCCAAGCCCTGCTTGATACTATCATCTCAAAACCTTCCTTAATAAAATGTAATATTCTATATATAGCATGTTTCAGCAAACTCAATAATTTTATACCAGACTCAGAAACAAGTGTTGGTATTTTAGTTTTACTAGTGAAACAAAAAAAATGTTTTTCCATTCATATTAAATCATTTTTAAGATGTAATCATTCTGGCTGGGCACGGTGGCTCACGTCTGTAATCACCAACACTTGGGGAGGCCGAGGTGGGCAAATCACAAGGTCAGGAGATCAAGACCATCCTGGCCAACATAGTTAAACCCCATCTCTACTAAAAATACAAAAATTAGCTGAGCCTGGTGGCACGTGCCTGTTGCCCCAGCTACTTGGGAGGCTGAGGCAGAAGACTAGCTTGAACCCGGGAGGCGGATGTTTCAGTGAGCTGAGATCACGCCACTGCACTCCAGTCTGGCAACAGAACAAGACTCCGTCTCAAAAGACAAAAAAAAAAAAAAAAAAAAGAAAGATATAATCATTCTTAGGTAGACAACTTGAGTTTCTCACAAATAGCTCCAGGATGTCCTGATGGTACGACAAACACAGGTCTGGGAGACCTAAAACCAAGGGCCCTGCTTTTCTACTTCCTAAATCTGTCATCTTGAAAGATGTAAAACCGGCCAGGCACAGTGGCTCATGCCTGTAATCCCAGCAATTTGGGAGGCTGAGGTGGGGGGGATCACAAGGTCAGGAGTTCGAGACCACCCTGGCCAATATGGTGAAACCCCAACTCAACTAAAAATACAAACTTAGTTGGGCATGGTGGTGGGCACCTGTAATCCCAGCTACACAGGAGGCTGAGGCAGAACTGTTTGAACCTGGGAAGTACAGGTTGCAGTGAGCTGAGATCACACCATTGCACTCCAGCCTGAGAGATGGGGGAAGATTCAGTCTCAAAAAAAAAAAAAAAAAAGTTATAAAACCTTCCTTAGCTTCCGTTTCTTTTCTGTAAAATTGGACAATAATATTCACCTTGCCTTTATGTGAGGATACAATCGTCAAGAAAAGCACTTTGAAAACAATAAACCCTCAATAGTAGTTTTGAGTAAGGAAGGATAGGTGAATTCTACCTTTTTCTTTTTTCCCTTTTATTCTTGCATATGCAATAGAATTCTACCTTTTTCTATGTTTTCTATACTTTTGAAATATTCTAAGTGTACGATAACTACTTTTTATTAGAAAATCAATGGAAGACCAGGTACAGTGGCTAACACCTGTAATACCAGCACTTTAGGAGGCCACAGTGGGTGGAAAGCCTAGTTCAGGAGTTTGAGACCAGCCTGGGCAACATGGAGAAACCCCATCTCTATCAAAACTACAAAAAATTAGCCAGGTGTTGTGGCACGAGCCTGTGCTCCCAGCTACCTGGGAGGCTGAGGTGGGAGGATCTCTGAGCCCAGTAGGCAGAGGTGGCAGTGAGCCAAGACCAGGCCACTGCACTCCAGCCTGGGTAACAGTGAGACCTGTCTCAAAAAAAAAAAAAACAAAAAAAAAGCAATGAAACATTTATTTTTATTTATTCATTCATTTTGAAACAAGGTCAGCCAGGCGAAGTGGCTCATGCCTATAATCCCAACACTTCAGGAGGCCAAGGCGGGCGATCACCTGGGGTCAAGAGTTTAAGACTTGCCTGATCAAATGGAGAGACCCCATCTCTACTAAAAATACAAAATTAGCTGGGCATGGTGGTGAATGGTAGGTGGGAGGCTGAGGCAGGAGAATTGCTTGAACCCGGGAGAGGGAGGTTGCAGTGAGCTGAGATGGTGCCATTTCACTCCAGCCTGGGCAACAAAAGCAAAACTCCATCTCAAAAAAAAAAGGAACTGCACTTTACTACTTTACATGCAGGTCTCGGAAATTCTTCTCAACAAGTGTGTTCACTGATGGCTTTAATGACCAGTTGACAATGTAAGAAGGCAAAAACTTCCACCATAGAAGATGACAGAAAGCCACATTTACATATGAAGCCCTTTGAAGTAGGAAAAATGAATTTTTGAACTATCAAAATGATACAAACTTTCACCTTATCTAGCCTCTTTTTGTCAAGGGAACAACAATAAGTTTTAAGTTCTATTTAAACCCTATGAGGATTCAATTTTAAAAATCTGACTCTCATTTTCTGCTTAAAATGAATTATCTCCAATAATTCTCTGTATTCTTACTTTCCATTTTTTTCTATCCCCTCAACCCCTTCTCAAAGACTCTTAGAAGAAAGGAATAGGATAGGCTGAAGTGAAGGGAAAAAAACAAAAACAAGACCTAAGACAATATTCATAAATGTTTTAAGTATCCATAATACTTACTTCAGTTGTCTATTTAATTCTTCAACATAATTCTTTTGGTCTAATATTGCAGCAATTTGAACATTCCTAAATGAGGAAAAAAGCAGCTTTGCGCTAGTTGAAAAGGTATTAAGTGCAAAAAAAACCTAAATCATCTAAAATTATTATAAAACTGAAACAATAAAACATTGTCTTTCCTTTAAAATAAAACATAACAGTAAGCTGTGTACTAAGTAATTATAACCTTTGTTGAACAAATTACTTGCTAATAATACACTTAACAATACCATTAGTGTATTTTAAATTTAAACATAATTAGAGCCGGCACAGTGGCTCACTCCTGTAATCACAGCACTTTGGGTGGCCAACGCAGGTGTATCACTTGAGTCCAGGAGTTCAAGACCAGTATGGCCAATGTGATGAAACCCTGTCTCTACTAAAAATACAAAAATTAGCTGGGTGCGGTGGTGGGAGTCTGTAATCCCAGTTACCGGGGAGGCTGAGGCAGGAGAATCGCTTGAACCCAGGAGGCAGAGGTTGAAGAGAGCTAAGATCATGCCACTGCACTCCAGCCTGGGTAACAGAGCAAGATTCTGTCTCAAAAAATAATAATAATAATTAGATATTGAAGTAAATCAGTATTTGCAAACTTGTGAATAATTAGCTTTCATCTCTTTTATTCCAAAAAACACCTATTAAGATGGGTCTCAGTAATTTACAGGTATGACCAAAGGTCCCATTTCATACTATTAATAAAACCTCCTTCTCCCAGGTGATTTTCCATAATCTGCTTTCTAAAGCTTGTAATGGAAGTGAAAATGAAATGAAGGAGAAGTCACAGGGGAGAAAACAACAAAATAAAAGCACATTGTAAATGGAAAGGTCTTATAATGATTTGTAAAGAGCTATATAAAAAATCCAATATGTGAAATAACTTATGAAAACCATACCTTTCTTTATTTCCAATATCTTCTTCATTCTTTAAATACATAGAAAAATCAATCACTCCAACCTGAAGTAAATAAAGTTTTTTTTTATTTAAAGGGAGAAAATATTTTATCAGAAGTACCTTTACTGAACATCATTCTTAATATTCCTTTAGTGTATAACAGTCCTGTTTACAACTTCAAATGATCGAGGAGGAACTATGCAAACTAAAAACACTCCGCATTTGATACTAATCACTTTCACTTACTTGTGAGTCTAAATCCTCTCCCTTCACACAAAGATTAGCATCGATCACATTCAGGCCAACCAGCAGCCCAACAATTACTGCTCCTTCTTCTTCCATCATTAGTGCATGATACTCATAAAACTCACTGTGAAAATTTTAAAAATAAGGACTTTAAATCACAAATTTATTTCAAAAACTAAAATTTTAAATCCCCATTATCTTTCTAATCTACCTTACAGAAACGGAAGCCATCTCAGTTAGATATCTTCAAATTTACCTTTATACATCTGAATAACTTTTTAAATTTCTTAAACTTAAATGTCTATTGAAAAATTAAAAGGACTGAAGGAGATAAAAGAGAAAAAATTTTTTTGAGAGAGAAAAGAGGAGCAAAGGATGAAAAGAAAAAGTGGTGCCAGGCACGGTGGCTCACCCCTGCAATCCCACCATTTTGAGGGGCCAAGGAGGGCAGATCACTTAAGGTCAGGAGTTTAAGACCAAGCTGGCCTACATGGTGAAACTCCGTCTCTACTTAAAATACAAAACTTAGCTGAGCATGGTAGCTTGTGCCTGTAATCCCAGCTACTTGGGAGGCTGAGGTAGCAGAATTGCTTGAACTGGGACCCAGGAGGCAGAGGCTGCAGTGAGCCAAGATTGCGCCACTGCACTACAGCCTGGGAAACTCCACCTCAAAAAAAAAAAAAAAAAAAAAAAAGTCTGGTGCGGTAGCTCAAGCCTGTAATCCCAGCACTTTGGAAGGCTGAGGCAAGTGGATCACTTGAGGTCAGGAGTTCAAGACCACCCTGGCCAACATGGTGAAACCCCGTCTCTACTAAAAATACAAAAATTAGCTGGGCACGCTGGCACAAGCCTGTAATCCCAGCTACTTGGGAAGCTGAGACAGGAGAATTGCTCGAGCCCAGGAGGTAGAGGTTGTGGTAAGCCAAGATCGTGCCATTGCAGGCCAGCCAGGGCAAAAAAACAAGACTCCGTCTCAAAAAACAAAGAAAAAAAAAAAAAAAAAGAGGCCACACTGAGCCCTGGGACGTTTCTGACTCAGATGGATATAGTGACAGCTGCTGATCTGAACATGACATATTTTACTACAGTTGAAGTTTCAATCCTAGGATTTATTAAGACCCCTGGAATAAAGACTAAGGTAGAAAATAAACATATGAAACATGTTCAAGTCAATGCATTCGATAGGTATATTATAAATGTTCTTAATAGATAATCATCAATTAAAGACACTTTGAGGTATCTACATTCTAAAAAATGTTCAAAAAGAGTTGTGGGCTGGGCGCAGTGGCTCACGCCTATAATCCCAGCACTTTGGGAGGCCAAGGCGGGCAGATAACGAGGTCAGGACTTCAAGACCAGTCTGGCCAACATAGTGAAACCAGTCTATACTAAAAATACAAAAAATCAGCTACTCAGGAGGCTGAGGCAGGAGAATCACTCGAACCCAGGAGGCAGAGGTTGCAGTGAGCTGAGATTGCACCATTGCACTCCAGCCTGGGAGACAGGAGGAGTTTTTGTCAAAAAAAAAAAAAAAAAAAAAACAACAACAAACAAACAAACAACCGCTAAGTCTCATCAACATACGTTCAGAGAAGTAGTTATCACTGTCTCATGCCTCCTTTAATAAGTCTTATGTACATTATATAATCACTTTAATTATTCTTCAGAATACTGAGAAGCTGCAGGTGCTTAACATATGGTCATTCTCATTTAACAAATGGGTAAACCACAATGTAAAACCAGTCACAAGTAAAACCAAAACCAGGACTAAATTCTCCACAACATAAGAGAAGCACTCTTACAGAACAAGGATGAATGGAGGACTACTACGGGCCCACTCTGTTAGAGAACCGATTGCCTGCCTTGCTCTGAAAGTCTGTCTTAAATAAACATTTGGCCTTCATTTTATTTTATTTTTATGAGACAGGGTCTCACTCTGTCACCCAGGCCGGAGTGAAGTGACACAATCTCAGCTCACTGCAACCTCCCTCTCCTGGGTTCAAGAAATTCTCCTGCCTCAGCCTCCCAAGTAAAGTGGCTGAGATTATAAGCACGCACCACCACGCCCAGCCTTTTTTTTTTTTGAGACAGAGTTTCACTCTTGTTGCCCAGGCTGGAGCACAATCTCGGCCCACTGCAACCTCAGCCTCCTGGGTTCAAGTGATTCTCCTGCCTCAGCCTCCCAAGTAGTTGGGATTACAGGCATGTGCCACCATGCCCAGCTAATTTTGTATTCTTAGTAGAGATGGGGTTTCTCCACGTTGGCCAGGCTGGTCTCGAACTCCTGACCCCAGGAGATCCGCCCGCTTTGGTCTCCCAAAGTGCTGCAATTACAGGCATGAGCCACTACACCAGGACTAATTTCTGTATTTTTAGTAGAGATGGCGGTTTCACCATGGTGGCCAGGCTGGTCTCGAACTCCTGACTTCAAGTGATCTGCCTGCCTCAGCCTCCCACAGTGCTGGGATTACAGGTGTGAGCCACACCACCAGTTGAAATAAATGTTTGGTCTTCAATTTAAAGTGTGCCCATAATATAGTTGAAGCAATAATTTGGATATTCAAATTCTAAAAACAAACCAACCAACCAACCAACCTGTGGAATTAGAACCCCAAATTCCAACACAAATTTTTATCCATAGAATTAACCATAATTCAGAAAAATAAAACTAACTTAGAAATGTAGTTATGTATAGCAGTTTCCAGGAAGGGCAAAAGAAAAAATTTTTAAAGAGGAAGAAGTATAATGTATATAAATTTCCCCATCCTGACTGATAACAAACTTATGGTACTCATATATAAGACTAATTCCTGCGCCAGGTGCGGTGGCTCAAGCCTGTAATCCCAGCACTTTGGGAGGCCGAGGCGGGTGGATCATGAGGTCAAGTGATCGAGACCATCCTGGTCAACACGGTGAAACCCCGTCTCTACTAAAAATACAAAAAATCAGCTGGGCATGGTGGCGCATGCCTGTAATCCCAGCTACTCAGGAGGCTGAGGCAGGAGAATTGCCTGAACCCAGGAGGCGGAGGTTGTGGTGAGCCGAGATCGCACCATTGCACTCCAGCCTGGGCAACAAGAGCGAAACTCCGTCTCAAAAAAAAGAAAAAAAAAGACTAATTCCTGATCCATGTCATGCCTCCATGTTTCTCTGTCTCATTTTGCTCCTCCTTTTACTTTATATCATCTTATATTATATATCCTTTCATATTACATTTAAATCCTTTTTAGAAGACAGAATATAAATAAAAAATGAAAAGAACACAACTTAATAGTACTAACCTCAAAAGATCCCTCTGAATAATTAAGCAACGCAGATAATCAGCCATTTTTTTTTGCATGAGGGCTAACCGAAGCCACGCTCTTGCTCGACCCAGAGGGGTCCTAAAGAGAACAACCAATTGGTCAGAAAACAGCTCCAGCCCAAAGATAACAGACTACATCTTCCATCTCTAGAGGTACACATTAACAAAGAAAAAGGGCATTTGTAGCATGGTTTTATTTTCATTTTTATAGCTTTAAACCATCTCTTCAAGCACACAAACAAATCCCTGAGAGCGGGGTAAATTTGTTTCTCCTATAGGACAGCTAGGTACTATTTTATGTCTTGGAAGAAATGACTCTATAAATGCTGTAGTGTGTCGCTTAATGATGGGGATATGTTCTGAAAAATTCGTGGTTAGGTGACTTCATCATGGAGTATAAATTTGCAAATGTAGATGGCATACACACCTATGCTATATAGTATAGCCTATGGGTTCCTAGGCTGCAAACCTATATAGCATGCTACTGTACTGAATGCTGTAGGCAACTGTTACACGATTGTAAGTATTTGTGTATCTAAACATATCTAAACATGAAAATGGTAAAGTAAAAATAGAGTACGATAATCTTATGGGACCACCATCATTGAATGAAATGTTATGCAGCACAGGACTGTAGTGAGAATACTTTTTTTTTTTTTTTTTTAGACACAGTCTCGCTCTGTCACCCAGGCTGGAGTGCAATGGCATGATCTCAGCTCACTGCAACCTCCCCCTTCCGGGTTTAAGCAATTCTTCTGCCTCAGCCTCCTGAGTAACTGGGATTACAGGCGAATGCCACCACACCTGGCTAATTTTAGTTTTAGTAGAGACAAGGTTTCATCATGTTGGCCAGGCTGGTCTTGAACTCCTCACCTCATGATCCGCCTGCCTCGGCCTCCCAAAGTGCTGAGATTACAGGCATGAGCCACCGCGCCTGGCCCGAGAATACTTCTGTAAGAAATATTTAGGCTAGGCACGGTGGATCACATCTGTCATACCTACACTTTGGGAGGTAAAGGTGGGAGGATCACTTGAGCACAGCCTGGGCAACATAGAGAGACCCTGTCTCTATTAAAACATATATAAATAAAAATAAAAATTAAAAAATCAAAACCAAAAACCAAAAATCAAAATGTCAGGTGTGGTGGCATGTGCCTGTAGTCCCACCTCCTGAGGAGCCTGAGGCAGAAGGGTTGCTTGAGCCCAGTAGGCAGAGGCAGCAGTGAGCAGTGACTGCATCACTGTACTTGAGCCTGGGCAACAGACCGAGACCCTGTCTCAGAAAAAAGAAAAAAGAGAAAAAAAAAAAGAAATATTCAGTCTGAATGGGCTTAGCCCTCTAAAAATAAATATTAAAAATTCACTGGGCCGGGCGTGGTGGCTCACACCTGTAATCCCAGCACTTTGGGAGGCCGAGGTGGGTGAATCATGAGGTCTGGAGTTAAAGACCAGCCTGGCCAACATGGTGAAACTTCATCTCTACTAAAAATACAAAAAATAGCTGGGTGTGGTGATGGACACCAGTAATCCCAAGTACTCGGGAGGCTGAGGCAGAAGAACATTTGAACCTGGGAGGCGGAGGTTACAGTGAGCAGAGATTGGGCCATTGCACTCCTCCGCCTCATCGCAACCTCCACCTCCCAGGTTCAAGTGATTCTCCTGCCTCAGACTCCAGAGTAGCTGAGACTACAGGCACGCACCACCACGCCCAGCTAATTTTTGTAATTTTAGTAGAGACAGGGTTTCACCATGTTGACCAGGATGGTCTGGATCTCTTGACCTAGTGATCCACCCACCTCGGCCTCCAAAAGTGCTGGGATTACAAGCGTGAGCCACCGTGCCTGGCCAAAAGCAACTTTTATACCACTTTTTTTTTTTTTTAAAAAGAGAGTGGCATCATTCACACTTTTATATTTTCTTATACTGGAAACATTTTGGCACATAGTTTAGGAAGAGACTTGATCTTCACTTCTTTTATTTTTTTTATTTATTTTTTTTTTTTGAGACGGAGTTTCGCTCATGTTACCCAGGCTGGAGTGCAATGGCGCGATCTCGGCTCACCGCAACCTCCGCCTCCCGGGTTCAAGCTATTCTCCTGCCTCAACCCTCTGAGTATAGGGACTACAGGAGTGCACCACCACACCCAGCTAATTTTTTCGTATTTTTAGTAGACATAGGGTTTCCCCATATTGCCCAGGCGGGTCTCGAATTCTTGAGCTCAGACAATCCACCCACCTCGTCCTTCCAAAGTGCTGGGATTATGGGTGTGAGCCACCATGCCCAGCCACTTTATATTTAACTCTAAAAACTGGGTTTAAATCCTGCCTCTGTCACTTATTAACTGTAATTTATCTGGCATTTATTTTTCACATCTATATAATTATAATAATAACCTCTACCTGCAAGACTGATTTAAGCACTAAAGAAGATAATTCATGTAAAATACTTACCTTATTACTCTAACACAGTGCTCAATAGCCGACACTTACCTTTTATCACTCAGTTAAGTCCAATTTACAAACATTTGAATGGTGAAATAACAGCAAAAATATTACCATATTCCCCACAACATATAAAAACCCTAAATTGTAAAACTACGAGAAAACAAACTAATAACCTGACAGAAAATGCTTTAACGCAAACAAAGTTATCTCACTCACAAGAATTACGATAAACTAAGAGAGGCCGGGCATGGTAGCTCACACCAGTAATTCCAGCACTTGTGAGGACAGGAGTTCAAAAGATCAGCCTGGTCAACACGGCAAAACTCCCATCTCTACTAAAAATACAAAAATTAGCCAGGTGTCGTGGTGCATGCCTGTAATCCCAGCTACTTGGGAGACTGAGGCACAAGAATCACTTGAACCCAGGAGGCAGAGGTTGCAGTGAGCCGAGATTATGACACGGCACTTCGGCTCAGACGACAAGGTGAGACTCAATCTCAAAATACAAAAACAAAACAAAACAAAAAAGATAAAAGAGAACGCTTACATTTTAATTACACTGGAAAGAATATAAGCACTGGCCGGAAGTTGTGGCTTACGACTGTAATCCCAGCACTTGGGAGGCCGAGGTGGGCGGATCAAGAGGTCAAAAAAGATCAAGACCATCCTGGCTAACACGGTGAAACCCCGTCTCTACTAAAAATACAAAAAATTTGCCGGGCATGTATCACCATGCCTGTAATCCCAGCTACTCGGGACGTTGAGGCAGGAGAATCGCTTGAACCTGGGAGGCGGAGGTTGCAGTAAATCGAGACTGCTCCACTGCACTCCAGCCTGGGGAACAGAGTGAGATTCCGTCTCAAAAAAATAAATAAAATAAAAAAGAAAAAATTTTTTTTTAAAAATCAGGAGTTCAAGACCAACCTGGCCAACATGGTAAACCCCCATCTCTACTAAAAATAGAAAAATTAGCTGTGCGGTGGTATGCACCTGTAGTTCCAGCTACTCCAAAGGCTGAAGCAAGAGAATCACTTGAACCTCCGAGGTGGAGGTTGCAGTGAGCCAAGATCCCTCACTGGTCTCCAGCCTGGGCAACACAGCG